TCGAGCCCAGGTGCCAAATGAGGTTTTGCAGCCAGAATAAAATACTGCATACCCTCCACCCTATCCATATCAGCCGAGTGGAAATGCCACATGTACTCTGGAGCTCCCTGCTTCCACCCTGGGCATCTCCTGCCTTTTGACCATTCTCTCTGCCTATGGATGCTGGGCATGGGGCTGAGAGCAACAAGGAGAATACAGGAAAGTGTCACTTCTGTCCTGAGCTTAGTGGATGCTCTAGTGGCCTTCCTTGAATATCCCCAGCCTCTCCTTGGCCTTTCTCAGAACACAGACAGATGCTATGACCCCACTGAGCCTCAGCTATGAGGCCCTGGAGGGCTCTTCAAAGAATTGGCTGCCATTCCCCATGGTGGAGTTCCAGAAAGGAGGCCTCTGCCCTCTCCTGGGACTGGGGATGGAGGAACGTGGGCCCAGCTAGGGAAGAGCTTTCTATTCTGCTTGTTTTTACCTCTCTAGTTCCAGAAAGGACTGGAAGGGACTTGAAAGGATACATTAACACACTGTAAATCAAAGTAGGAGCAAGAACAAGAAGCACAGGAGGGAAATGGAGCAGGGAGTGCTGCCTCCGTGAAACCACATCTAGGAAGTCCTACACCTGGGTACAGGCAGGCCACAAATCTGCCTCAGGCTTGGCGGTGCTTCTGACCTTGGCTGCTCAGGAGAATTGCTTGGGGAGCTTTATAAACATAGGAATAAAATAAGAAAGCCTCTGTCCCCTCCTGCAGAGTTTCATCTAATGGAGCTGATATGAATCCTGGTGGGAGAATTTTTTTCCTAGGTGATTTTCATATGCGGGGAGTGAGGAGGGCTAGAGAACTCAGAGGGGGCAAACAAGAAGCTGGTCTGTTATAACATGATTCTTGGATTTATGAGACACTAGGCCGGTAGCCCAGAGAAGAACATGTCTATGGTAAAATCACAGACACTTCCATAGGGTCTGAGTAGCAAGGTGGCACAACTGACAGGATGAATGTAAACTGCCATGAAACCTGCAGTGTGGGCCCTGAGCTGTGACTTTGCAGGCCAACAGACACATGGGTAGCCCACAGAGCTGACAGCCTGCTACAGTCAAGGCACCCAGCTTTTAAATGATTCGGTCCCAGGGCAGATTTTAGGGCATGTGACAGAATAGGTGAGTCACATATCACCTGGAAAGATGGTCTGGTATCTTAATTCCTCAAGGTGGAGAGCTCAAGAATTTGGTAATGCTTGTGTTGACAGACATGTCTAAAAGCAGGAAGAGGTTTCAGGTCTTCAGCAAACTAAGGGAGACCTTGTGCCACCAGGGAGGTGAGCAAGACACTGTGGACTCTGAGACCTTTGGTGGAAAGGTACAAACAGCACCAGGCAAAGAGAGAAGAGTGAGGACCAGTTGAAGGATTGTACCTAATTGGTGGGCTTGAGTCCATGACCTTTTCAAGGGCCTAACTTCCCAAATTCCCAGCAGAGGAAGGAGCTACAGAGGTCCTCTAGGGCTGGCCAGGGAAGGTACAGGAAGAGTCAGAGGAAAAAGGGGTGACCAAGTATGTCTGGTGGGTGTCTAGAGCAGTACTTGGAATGTGTGCATGGCCCATATTATAGAATGAAAGTCATGAAGGCTTAACGCAGACAACAAACGACAACAAATGACAGTGGAGGGGAAGAGGGCCTGGAGCTCTCCATGAAGCAAGGCAGTTTGAGTGGGGAGTAAAGGGAGGACAGAGGGATCAACTGGGGGAAATGAAGCTGTGTCGAGAGCAGGAGTCCAGGGCCGGTGCATGGACCAGCCCCAAGTCCCACTGGCTTCAGAGACATGTGCAGTGTCCTCTGAGGATGCAGGGCACACAGATCGTTTTGCTTGCTGAGGGAGGGCACAGAGCCTGGACAAGCAGTCCTGATCCCACAGTTCCAGTGACAGGCAGGGGAGGCCGCACAAGGCAGTTCCTTGGTGCCCGGGAGGACTGGCAGTTGCCTCCCATCTGCTCAGAGCCAGAGCAGTCTATTAATGCCATTCTTGGCTCAGCCTTTAGTTCTGCATACACCGAGTCCTCAGCTCACCCCGAGTCCCTGCTGGTTCTGGGATCTTTTTTGATCCTTGGGTAAAGTCATCAAGCTTCTGAGAGTGGACAGCAGAAGTCCATGCTTTGCTACTGAACTGGTCTGTTTTGAAACAGGGCACAAAAAGCCCAGGTAGCTTCTCCAGTTTCCACGGTGAAGTGGTAGCTGCTTCCACAGTGGTCACAAAGGCCACTGCGACTGTCCATCTACAGTGGTGGACCTGACTGCAAGGGAAGAGCATATACTGCACTGGACCACATACCAAGGTACTCAGAGACTGTCCTGGCTATGTGCTGTTAGCTGAAGGCCCAGTGGGTACCATACAAGTGAGGAGGGACAGAATTCAGAGATGTATCCCACAGGACTCCTGCCTTCCAGGAATTGTCCACTGGGAGGAAAGACAAACACACATCTGCCATGGGGACCCATCTGGAGGATGTGCATGGATACTGAAGCCCACAAAAGACTGATCAGCTGTAGGTCTGGTGATATCAGCTGGTGATATCACCTTCAGATTCCCACCCATACAGCCATCCTAAATCCGCTCTTGTCCAAGATTGGGACTTATGAAAGATGCACCTTGCACAAGAGGCAGGAAATACAAAGCTACAAACTAAGAAATATCATCTAAGGAACCAAATTCCTCCCCATTCCCTTCTTTTCTCCCACCCATTTCAATGCCCATATATACCCAAGGAAAGCTGTGAAGAACAGCTTTAAATCTCTTCTCAGACCACTCATTCTGCTTCTGGTCCCTCTAAGAAGGAAGAGATCAGTCACAAACCCATTGCACTCTCTTGTTTCCAACTCTCTTTCTCTGATTTGACTGTCACAGAAGCAAATCATTCCCCACAGGCTGGGATAATGGAGAAGACAGCTGTCTCCCATCAGTGGTGTCATCAGGCTCATGCCAACAGCCCACCAGCATTCTAGGTCAGGAACCCATCTGTCCTCCTCTGGCTGTCCCCGCTGGTCTGCTAGGTGGCAGCAGGCTAGAGACCCCCCTGGGCAGTGTAGGTTCTTCCATGCAGGCAGCCAATCCAGACCTAGCTTAGATCTCCTCCCACTTCCTCCTGATAACCTGGGGCATCCACAAGCTGGGATCTTAGAGACTTATATTCTTCTCTTTGTGTTAAGGGTTCTTGGAGTGGTAGGCCATGTTCAATCCTATTGTCTCTGTGTCAAAGAAAAACCAGCAAAGAATCTATACATGACAGGACTCTTGCTGGCTGATGTCAGCCCTTGTTAAAGGAAGCTGGGGTATAAGGCCACAAAGTAGCTCTAGGTAGTTGCTACAGCTTCTTGGGCTTGGAGCAGGATATCACTGAACATGTTTTAGTCCTGGATCACTATGACCTGAGTTTGCTCAGGCTCTGTGTGCTCCTACAGATGCAGCTTTGGGGTGTGTGTGTGTGTGTGTGTGTGTGTGTGTGTGTGTGTGTGTGTGTGTGTGTGTGTGTGTGTGTGTGTGTGTGTGTGTGTGTGTGTGTGTGTGTGTGTGTGTGTGTGTGTGTGTGTGTGTGTGTGTGTGTGTGTGTGTGTGTGTGTGTGTGTGTGTACACACACTGACCCTTAGTGTTTTACCACTTAAAGTCACAGCTTATGTCCAGCTTTTACAAGGTTAATTGGAAAGAAGAGTCTCATATACTTTTCTTGCCTGGGCTAGCTTTTGAACTGAGATCCTCAGATCTCAGCTACCTAATTAGCTAGGATTAAAGGCATGAGCCACTAGGTCCAGCTGGCTCTGTGATGCACTCTCTCTCTCCCTCTCTTTCCTCTCCCCCCCCCCCGGCGTCCTCCCCCCCCCCCCCCCCCCTCCCCGGCCATCTTCTCAAATTCACAACTCTTACCTCAACCTCCTGAATACCAGGATTGTAGGTATATGCCAACCATGTGTAGCGTCTCACTGACTTCTAAAGATTCCCTGTGCCTCCCCGCATCTGCTTCATTCCAGCTCCAGCCTGCCTCCCCAGTGGTGGAACTCTGGCAGCTCTAGCTCCAATGCCATGGCTTCTGTAGGGACATATCTGGCCTGCTTGAGGGTGGGAGTTAGAGCAGCAGGCAGCTTTGTTTCATGAGATGCATGCCCGGACGATGCAGGCCCCATTCCCCAGTGCTCTCCTGACTTTCTGGTCCTGATTTGAGAATACAAAAGTTTCTATAAATTAAATCCAAGCAAATAATCACATGACTGTGCAAAGGGCATGTTAAGAGATATTTCTTGTGGTGTTATTGATAACAGTAAAATATTAAAAACATGATAAATATCCATCATTAAGGTATCAACTAAAGTACATTTTTATGTTCCTATAATTTGAAGTCTTGAAAATAATGATATAGTTTCTATTCACTGGCATTAAAGATGACTTAACATATTTTTTGAGACACAATTGAGACACAATAATATCTCAACAAGTAGTATGCACAATATGATCCCACGTATGTGTGTATATATACTCATAAGAAGCAAGCCTGGAACACAACATTAAAGTGTTTGTCCCTGGGAATGTAAATTCTTTATATAATTCTAGGTACTTGTTTCTTGGAGGATGGTAGGAACTGAATCCATCTTTCAAAACCTTTATGAATAAATAATATTTTCATGATATTTAAGAGTATGTTTGAACAATAAAAATTAAATGAAGAGACGTGAATTTGTTAAATTATAAGAATGAAGTTTGGAGAAGTTTCAAGGTCATGTAGTTGTTGGCCACCCCAAGATCTAAACCCTGGAGAAACTTCACAACTGGGGAGAATAAGGAAGAGTCACCATGACTGAGATCTAGATGGCTTAGTGGATCATATACTTGTGTGTGTATGGAGGGGGGGGAGGGGGAATCTCACCAACTAAGAGTAAGGGACTAGCTCCCTTTCCTCTTATCCCCAGACAGCCAGCTCTACTCAGGATCACTCCCTTAGTCCACAGGAGCTGAGCTTGGACTTACCTTTCGCCGTCCGTCTCTGGCAAGCTCAGGATTCGTCCCCAGGATGCAAAACCCTCGATGACCACCAACACTTAGTAGAGGGAGGGCATCACGGGGAAGCCACACAGTCTAGAATGAGAGAGGAAGAGGGAAGTTGGAGTGCAGAAAGTGGTTTAAAAAAAAAAAAAAAACACAAAAGACCCACAGCCAGGCACTGGTGGCTCATGCCTGTAATCCTAGCTACTCAGGAGGCTGAGATCTGTGGATCACAGTTCAAAGCCAGCCCAGGCAAGAAAGTCTGTGAGACTCTTATCTCTAATTAATCACCAGGAAACTGGAAGTGGTGCTGTGGCTCAAGTGGTAGAGCGCTCGCCTTGAGCTAAAGAACTGAGTTCAAGTCCCATAATTTTAAAAAAAAAGAAGAAAAGAAAAAACACAAAACTACTTTTAGTACGAGTTTTTTTTTTTTTTGGGGTCCGGTCGTGGGGCTTGAACTTTAGGCTTGGGCGCTGTTCCTCAGCTCTTCAGCTCAAGGCTAGCGCTCTACCACTTGAGCCACAGCGCCACTTCCAGCTTTTTTCTGCTTATGTGGTGCTGAGGAATCGAACCCAGGGCCTCAGGCATGCAAGGCAAGTGCTCTACCACTGAGCCACCTTCCCAGCCCCAGTACTAGTTTCTTATGTGACCTCCCAACCCTCAAATGGAAGCTAAATTCTGCCTTGGCTTTCTCCTTGATGCTGAGCCTCCTCTTGTAGATTATGTCACACAGAGTCAATGTTACACAGAGAGACCCCAAACTCTGCTATAGCGCTCTTAGAAATGGGGATGCAGTGGGCAGCAGATTGCCCTAGCAAGGTATTCCTCCCATTTCTCAAACATTGGCTGGCACTAATCCACACCACTGGGCCATTAACAGAGTAAGATTGAGAACAATGGCATTGTCTCCCACCTAATCCAAACAAAGAAAATCCAGGAAGGGAGAAAAATAAGAAATTCAAATCTTTAACATTGAAAAGGACACAAACTCTGGAATTACAGAAACAAATCATGACTTCTTTTAAGACAACAGGCAAGAAGACCTTGAGGAGGCAAAGAATGGGTTCCTCGGAGAGAAGTTTTAAAAAATACATATAAAGAGAGAGATTTAATACCCAGTGGAAAGAGGCTATCTATTATGGGGAAGCAGGGCTATTCCTCGTCTGCTCTTTCAGATGTAATATATGAGAAAGTCATCGCCATGACGGGAAATGGCATCTTCCCCCGCAAAAGCGTGTGGCTGTCATTACCTGAGAATCAATATATTTTTTTAAAATGGAATATATCATTATCAATTGATTTTCTTTTTTTTTCTCTTAGTACTCCAGGGTCCTAGATAGCAAGGGAAAGCTTTACTGTGATATGAAGGATTTGGACAGGTATATAAGTTATTGTAAACTAATTCCACCTCATGGCCAGCGTTCTCTCTGATGATGCGATGGGTCTTTCTCAGATCTTCTCTACTAAGCTTTTTCAGCTGCCAATGACAGGGACATCCATGAGCCATATCAAATAGCTATCTGAAAGCTGAAGATGACAAAAAAATATTGCTTTTTCCAAGGACAGCATGTTCCCTTTACGATTAAGAAATAACCTCTGTGGGGAGGCAAAGTAAGCCAAGGTCACCATTTAATTCTGACACAGAGCCAAAGTCATGAGTGTATTTCCTCTACCAAGCCCATGTGGCACACGCACAGACATTGATCACGTTGGCCACAATGTATTGGCGATTCTTGTGATTAGAAGACTCACGAATTTCTGGGAAAGATCTTCAGCAGATAAGTATTGGTGAAAAGAATGTTTTAGAAGGTGATGAACAAACCAATTTTAGGTTCTTGAGATCCTCATTCATTTAGTCACTCATTTATTTTATGTGTTTATTGCGTGACTGCTGAATGTAGGGGTTTGTCCTAGACACATAGTGAATATATGAGTGAACAAAAATATTCGTACCCTCATAGTTGGAAACAGACAAGAAACAATCAACTTAGGAATGTGTGAAAATTACATGGCATATTAGAAGATAGTAAGTGCTGCTTGGAGAGAGAAAATAGAGCAAGGAGTGTGCTGGAGAGCTGCAGTGCAGTTTAAATAGGGTGGGTGAGGTCAGCTTCATGGGCAAGGGATAACCTCTGCACAAGTGCTGGATGGAGTGGATTGCACAGGTGTTTGAGATAGAAGGAAGAACAAGTACAGTGGGGGGGGGGGGGGGGAGTGACATGATGTTTCAAGATCAGCAAGGAGGTCTCGAGGGATGGACCTTTTTAGATTCCAGTAGATAATAAAGTCACAGAGGTGAGTATCTAGGTTTTTGTAAGTACTCGTAGGCTATTGTATAGGTTGCTAAGAGAGAGCCCGAAGATCTCAGGTACTAGTCTTTACATGGAGCCTTCAATCTCTTGAGACAAAACTCTCAGAGGTCAATGTCAGGTTAATCTGCTTTTCTTCTCTCCAACCCAGATGGCTCAATACTCTCTGGCCAGCTAACACCCACTCTCTGAGCTGTAACCAGGCTGTGCTGACTTAATATAGGCAGGCTATAGGAAATGGGGGAAAGGGAGGAGGGAAGAGCACAGAGGGAACACAGGGAAGTTGGCCACCTGTTCTGATGACAATGGCCTTGTCTTCCCTAAGCTGTGGTGCAAATGATCAATTCCAGAGGTGATCACTGAAATATTTCTGGATAAAAATAAGCTACATGCAATGCTGGGTTCTTTGGGACTTTTTCCTAGTGTATTAAAGGTCCTGACATGAATTGACAGGTTAGCAACTGGGGTGGAAAAAATTCTGATTATCCAGGTCTTCCTATCTTCCCTCTGGTCTGTGACTAGAAGGTATATCTAACCAGTACAGAGGGAATCAACTGAGCTCTGATACTTTCTGATTTCTGGTTAGGTTTAACTAGCAGAAGACTGAGGATTGGCTGGAGCAAGCTGTTCATTCACTTATTTTGTTTCTGCTCTGCTGGGTCTTCACAGGGTAGCTGTGTCCCTCAACTGAAGGTGATACTCAAGTTAGGGGAGATGGTACTCTTTAGCATTCTCTATGGGTTTCTGTAATAGCTCCTTTGCCCCCTTAAGCAGTAATTATCTTCATTCTCATTATTAGCCCACGGGTGACACACTCTTATGGTTTCTTTATACTGTGCCTAGAATTTTATGATTAGTTCTTTTAATAAGTCTTTTCAGAGATCACATATTTGGATATGTCTGTTCTTTTCAGAGTCTCAAGATTTGGAACCAGACAGATGAGAACTAGAATTCTAATATCACTACCTACTTTTGTGGCATTTAGTTTAATTCCTCTAAACCTGTTACATGTTTTTCAAAGTAGAGAAGCTGGTCCATGAATCTTCCTCCTTCTCCTGTCTCAGAAGCATCCCAGTCCAATACTGCTACCACCCATGCCAAGTTCCAGGGCAAGGAACACCTAAATTGTGATTCCTTGGTCCACTCCAACCAGAAACTAATCTCCTGAAGGTGAACTCACAATACGTCTTCGTTTATGTCTGAGTTTTATTTATTTATTTTCTATAGGTTTCCTTTCTTGCTCTTTTTCCTTTCAGAGACTAGACAATATCTTAATATTTGAGTATCTGGTCCATGATATCCATCATATAAATGTTGGTTCATTTATCATAGACCTCTGATTTTTTTTATTTTCCATTCTAGAAGACCTATAAACTATGTTGGTGTCTCAAAATGAGTTCTATTCTAATGAGACACATGGTATAACATGAATTAACGTGACTAGAAATTGGTTTTTAGTCACAATTTTTCTCCTAAATCAACAGTGTAAAACCATAACTTTCCAAAGATCCTGGCCTAGGAAATGAATCTCAGGAATGAACCTAAAAAATCTCAAGGAAAAAGGAATGGCTTGCCATCTCCAGGCAAGATGATGATGATACTCCAGGATTTAATTTCCTGGCATCTCTGGCCACACTGACCCTTTCTCTTCCGCTCATTTCATCATCAAGGAATGGCTGGCAGTCTGAAGGAAAATGACATTTAAAAAGTGAAAGGTTGCTGGGTATTGGTGGTACACACCTGTAGTCCTAGCTATCCAGGAGGCTGAGAGCTGAAGATGCAGTTCACAGCAAGCTTGGGTAGAAAAGTTTGTGAGACTCTTATCTCCAATTAACCACCAGAAAACCAGAAATGGAGCTGTGGCTTGAAGTGGTAGACTGTTAGCCTTGAGCAAAAGAGATCAGGGATAGCGCCCATGCCCTGCGTTCAAGCTCCATAATTGGCCAGAAAAAGGTGAAAGGATAAGTGTGGGGTGCTGGTGGCTCTCACTTATAATCCTAGCGACTCAGGCTGAAAACTGGAGAATCACAGTTCAAGGCCAGCCCAGGCAGAAAAGTTGTCTGCCCTCTATTTCCAGAAATAACCAGTCTTAAGCAGAGCTGAAGGCAAGGCTCAAGTGGTAGAACACCTGCTTAGCAAGCATAAGGTCCTAAGTTCAAACTTCAATCTGCATCCCCTCACAAAAAAAAAGAAAGAAAAAAGCAAAGGGTAGCCAGGTATCAGGTACTAGTAGCTCACGCCTATAATCCTACCTATTCAGAAGGCTGAGATCTGAGGATGCAGTTCAAAACCAGCCAGCCAGGAAAGGCTGTGGGACTCTTACCTCCAACTAATCACCTAAAAAACAGAAATGGAGCTGTGGCTCAAAGTGGTAGATGCTAAGCTTGAGCAAAAATGCTCAGGGAAAGAACTCAAACCCTGAGTTCAAGCCCCATGACCAATAAAAATAAATAAATAAGCAAGCAAGCAAGCAAGCAGAGAATAGCACATAGTTTGAGGCCAGCCTGGGCAGCACAGCAAGATCTTAAAAGGGAGAGGGAGGTGACCAGGGAGAAGGAGAGAGAGATAAAAGAAACATTCTAACTCAAAGTCTGTGAGTAAAGATGGTTTCTGACATGAACCAAATTGATTGCCAAGAGAATTATAAACAAGAGCCCCAGGAATTTTACATCTCTATAAAAGACACCATTTTCTTTCTTTCTTTTCTTGCGTGAGAAACTGCCTACTGTGAGGAGAAACCAATTAAGGAGTCTCCAGATTGACACAGAATCAGAAAGCAGCCTG